CTTATACACCTCAGCTCAATGGTGTATCTAAAAGGAGGAAACATACACTATTAAACATGGTACGATTCATGATGAGCTTCATCGCACTAGAGACCGCAACTTACATTTTGAAAGAGTTTCAACTAAGTTGGTATTCTACACCATATGAGATATGGAAAGTGGAGAAGCTTGATCTTAAGGTTGTTAAGTTTTGGGGTTGCCCTGCCCATGTTAAAAGATAACCTTGATAAGTTGGAATCGATGATGGAGCAATGCAAGTTCGTGAAATACCCCAAAGAAACTTATGGGTATTATTTCTATCATTCCGAGGACCAAAAGATCTTTGTAGCTAGGAGAGCAGTGTTCCTTGAGAAGGAACACATTCTTGCTAGTCATAGGTGCCCAACAAGTCAATCATGTGAGTGATGGCATGTGTGACATGACACGTAATTTTTTTTTCTTATTATATATTATATGTTATCACTTTATATTGTATGTTGCATAAATATATTGTGATATTCATGGATCTGTGCAATGAGAATTCGATCGTGATGAGATCATAATAATGAGACTGATTCACCTTTAAACACAAATCCTAAATAATCCTGATCATAAATTACTTGAGAGGACTATCGAGATAACCGGACAGACTGGTGTACTGTATACTGATACATATGATAGAGGTGGCTGATCTCATAGCTGCTCGTGTGTGGACACTAGGGCTATAATGCAAGTGCTCATTGGAGAATTAGTTCACTAATTGATTTGCTCGCGAAATGCTGGATGGTTACTAATACCTCATTATCAAACAGTGATTCTATTGTCCTAGTGGTGTACCTAGTTATTACACTTGAGACACCAAGGATGTCCAGTATGACTACTTCATTTTTTGATATCGGACTTATAGGCCTAAAAGTATCCAAGTACGTCAGAATAAGTTCTAACAAGTATAACTCATGTCCAGCTCAATATTGGGCCTAGAGGGTCACTTATATATGGTAGGCATTGCGACGAGTAGAGGTTCGAATATGAGATATCCGTCGGAGCTCCTATCTTATTAAATATTCAATAAGCCCTTGAATTATTGAATCCTATGAATGAGATTTAATAAGAGTCAATGAGAGATTATTGGATAGAGATTCACTAATCTAAGTGACTTGGGTAGTTGAATGTAGATCCATACTCAATAGTGTAGGATTCATTATGGTTAAGTTGATATGAGACTTCTATAAATAGGAGGGAACCAAATGCTTATAAGATAGAGGTTTTTGGTTATCATCTCCTATTCTCCTCTCCCATTCTCCTCCTCAGATTGCAGGCTTAGAGATATGAGGAGCGTCGTCGTAGCCTTGCTGTGTAGATCATCTCTAGAGATGAGAGCGCTTAACTTCCTTCATCCTCTCCTACAGATCTATAGGGATTCAGGGATATATGATCCCCCTAGGTAAAACACAATCTATTTCATATATGTAGTTTTTGATTTTGCATATTTTACGCATAAATCTTTGCATAATGATAAACACATCATTAGAAAATTTAGAGATTTTTATTTTTTATTCTTCCGCTATGCATGTGATGTCACCCCAAAATTCCCTACAATTCTTGGGGGAGACAATGGGAGCGTGATATAGTTGAGCAAGGTTGGAGAACCTAGCTCAAGCACCATTCCATAGCTCGAGTCTGTTCAGGTACCTAGCACACAAGTTTCACTTTACGTAGGTCCGATAGAGTATCTCATCCTCTTGAGAGATATGTGAGACATATTAGAGGAGAAGATGTTGAGGATATTGATCCTCGGACCTACAAGGAGTCTATTACGAGTATAGACTTTAGGAAGTGGCAAGAAGCCATAAATTCTGAGGTGGATTATATGTACTCTAACAAGGTTTGAAACATAGTTGAAATATCCGAGGGTATTGTACCCATCGGTTGCAAGTGGATCTTCAAGAAAAAGATTGAAGTAGATGGAAAGGTAGAGGCCTATAAAGTAAGACTAGTGGCATCGTCGTCAAAGAGAAGGTATTGACTATGACGAAACCTTTTTACTTGTAGTCATGCTAAAATCTATTTGAATTCTATTGGCTATTGCAACACACTATAATTATGAGATTTGACATATAGATATAAAAACTACATTTCTCAATGGTAACCTCAAGGAGAATGTGTATATGATACAACATGAGGGATTCATGTCTAAGGACTGTCCACATAGGATGTGTAGTTTACTTAGATCCATTTATGGATTGAAGCAAGTTTCTCAAAGTTGGAACATAAGATTTGATGAGGCAATAAGATATTATAACTTCGTTAAGAATGAAAATTAACCTTGTGTATATAAGAAGGTAAGTGAGAGTGCTATCACTTTCTTGGTGTTATATGTGGATGACATCCTAATCATTGGAAATTATATAGAAATACTATCCATAATAAAAGCTTAGTTATCTAGATACTTCTCTATGAGGGACTTAGGAAAAGCATCCTATTTCTTGAAGATTCAAATCTATAGAGATAGATCCAAGAGGATGCTTGGCTTGTCTCAATCCATATACATAGACACTATTATCAAAAGATTTGGCTTAGAAAATTTCAAGAGATGTCTAAGAGACATGAGATATCGCTTTCTAGGAGTATGTTCCCAAAGACTCATGAAGAAATGACGAACATGGATATGATACCCTATGCCTTAGTAGTTTGGTCTATCATGTATGTCATGCTATGTATCAGGCCTGATATAGTGCATGTTCTGGATGTCACGAGCAGGTATCAAACGGATTCAAGTTTGGAGCATTAGAAAGCATTAAAGTATATTATTAAGTACTTGAGAAGGACTAAGGATCTTTTACTGGTATATAGAGGTAATAGCCTCATAGTTGAAGGATACATAGACTTGAGTTTTCAATTCGATATTGATGATAGTAAGTCTAATTTGGGGTATGTGTTCACCCTGAATGAATGAGTAGTATGTTGCAAGAGGTCCAAGCAAGATACTACTGCTGACTCAACCATAGAGACATAGTACGTTATTGTAGTAGAGGCAGTAAAGAAGGGAGTCTGGATAAATAAGTTCATTATAGATCTAGGAGTCGTGTTGGGCAGCAAGGAGCTAATTCCCTTATATTACGATAATAATTGGGCGATTGCTTAAGCAAAAGAACTCATGTCTTATCATAAATTTAAGCAAGTTCTGAGGAGGTTTCATCTAATCAAAGAGATTGTGACCCGAGAAGATGCAATAGTAGAAAATGTTCCATCTGAAGATAACATCGCATATGCACTAACAAAGCCATTATCTCATATTATCTTTCAATGTCATATGGGTCTGATAGGGATCAGATACATAGGTGATTGGCTTTAGGTCAAGTGGGAGATTGCTAGTCATAGGTGTCTTGCAATCCAATCACGTAAATGATGACACGTGTGATATGATACACATTTTTTTTCTTACTATATTTTAGTATTTTATCACTTTATATATATATATATATATATATATATATATATATATATATATTGTAATGTATATAGTTCTTTATGAATCAGATCATGATGAGATCATAATAATGAGATCGATACACCTTTAAACACAGACCCTAAATAATCCTAGTAATTGGTTACTCGAAATGAACATCGAGATAACCGGACATATTAGTGTGTTGTATACTCATCTATATGATGGAGGTAGCTGGTCTCATAGCTGTTCATGTAGGGACATTAGGGCTACAATTAATGTACTCACTGAAGAATGAGTTCACTGATTGATCTGCTTATAGAATGCTAGATGGTTAATAATACATCATTATCATATAATGATTTTATTGTCCCAATGGTGTCCCTAGTCCTTAGACTTGAGACACCAACAATGTCTTGTATGAGTACTTCACTCTCTGATACTAGATTTATAGGTTTGGAAGTTCCAAATCTAGCACAGCCAAATCATATGTTCTTGCTCAAACAAATCCGCTCTCGGTACTAGACTTATGAGTACTGAGTGTCGATAAAGGATCATTCGCTCTCGGTGTCATGAGAGGAATATCTCATATGTTCTTGCTTAAACAAATCCCTATATATATATATATATATATATATATATATATATATATATATATATATATATATATATATATATATATATATAAAGAAAAAAAATATATATGAGACGTTTGTTTTATCAAATACCAAAAATTATACTTAGGCTTCTAAAATTATTTTTAAGAGTTTGGATTCACTTGTCGGTCACTTAAGTAGTTCATAAAATATTGAATGTTCTTGTAAAATGGTAGGAACGCAATGTGCAATTATCTTAATAAATTTCATTCTAACACCTTTTTCAAGTGGCGATAAAAATAATAGAAAATTGTTTTCTAGAACAATTAAATCTCTTTTGTTTTTTCTTTCTCCGTATCTTTAACAAGAGTGTCTCAATTTTTTAATATATCAATTTATTTTATTATATTACCCCTTTACACTTTATTTTATTGTTTTGATTAATTGAATCCCTTTAAAGTGATAACTTATCGACCCTCCTAGGCATACAAATGATTTAGAGTTCGTCGAATTTTAATAATTCGATTTAGAGTTTACATTTAGATTCATCGTATTTTTATAAGTCAATAGTAGTCTTTAATATATTTTTAATATAAAATTAAATTGAGATATTATAAATAAATTAATATCCAACTAATCTAATCCGTTGCCAATAAAATATTATAATCTACTTATTACTCTTAACTTGCCAAACTTTGTTAATCCACTTATTGACTTAAGCATCAAAAAAAAAATTTATAAAATCCCAACTAAACTCAATTATTTATCAACATCAAAAACCTGTGGCACGTTGAGAACAACTAGGAAAAAAAATTTTGATGTGATGATTTAGGAGATACAGTGCTAAAAAATTAAATTACATTATTTTTTTGGAAAATATTCTAATGGGTTCGGCTCCTTAGCGGATCCTATCCAATTGATGACTGCTACGGAGCTCCTACTTAGGGTCGTGATGATGAATCTCTCTCTCTCTCTCCCTCGTGCTTCGATCTCCGTCTGCGTCGGGGCATCTGTGCGAGCGATGCTCGCTGCGGAAGGCTCTGCTCTTCCCGCATGCGCTTCCCCCGTCATGGGCTTCTCCCTGTCCCCCTCCTCACGCGACCTCCGCCGCCCTCCAGCTCCTTCTCCTCTTACTCCATCCCGTGGGATCCCGTCGCTTCCGCCGTCCACGATGGCATCCTGCGAGCTCGGTCCTTTGCCCACACGAAGCAGGCTCATGCCCTGGCCGCCGCTTCCGGCGTCCTCCCCCGCCACCTTCCCTCCGCCGCCGCCATCCTCATCGCCTACGCCGACCACGGTGACCCCGCTGCCTCCCTCCGCCTCTTTGACGACAGCCCCCTCAGACTCCGCGGTGCCTTCCTCTGGAACGCCCTCGTTCGCGCCCTCTCTTCCGCTGCCGGCCTTCACTCCGCCGCTCTCTCCGCCTACAATGGCATGCTGCGCGCCGGCGTCAGACCCGACAATCGCACCTTCCCCTTCGCCCTTACAGCCGCCGCCGCCGCGGTTGGTGATGACGCCCGGAAAGGCCGAGAGATTCATGGATCGGTGATCAAGGTTGGATTTTTTTATGACGTCTTCGTGGGGAACACACTCTTGGCCTTCTACGGCATCTTAGGTGATTTGCTGGCCGCTAAACAGGTGTTTGGCGAAATGCTACATAGAGACGTTGTTTCATGGAACTCACTCATTTCAATGTTTTCATCGAATGGCTTATACTCGGATGCAGTAAGCTTGCTGTTGGAGTTAAAGAGGAGCGACCTTTCAGTGAATTCTGTGAGTCTGATCAGTGCTCTCCCTGCATGTGCTGCACTGCAAGATGAGGATTGTGGAAAGGGAATTCATGGTCTTGCGATAAAGGCTGGTCTGGATTTGGTAGTCACAGTCGGTAATGCATTCATTGATACGTATGGGAAGTGTGGGGACTCAGATGCCTCGATGCGAGCTTTTCAGAGCATGCAGGAAAAGAATGATGTTTCTTGGAACTCTGTTATTGGTAGCCTTGTTCATGCTGGTCTCTATGAGGATGCTTTGGAGAAATTTAAAGAAATGCTAGCAATTAAGGTGAAGCCAAACTCAATCACCATATCAAGTCTTTTACCAGCATTGGTTGAGTTGGGCTGTTTTGATTTGGGGAAAGAGATTCATGGGTATATTATAAGAAACTACATGTATTCTGATGTCTTTGTTGCTAATTCTCTAGTGGACATGTACGCAAAGTCTGGATGTTGGAATAAGGGGTCAGATATTTTCTATAGAATGGATAATTGGAATGTGGTTTCTTGGAATGCAATGATTGCAAATTTTGCGCAGAATGGAGCTGAGTTGGAAGCCATAGGGCTTGTTAAGGAGATGCAGGATTGTGGGGAATTCCCCAATTCGGTTACATACACAAATGTTCTTCCAGCATGTGCTAGAATTGCTTCACTGGTGAAGGGTAAGGAAATTCATGCTAGGTCAATCCGTGTGTGTTCTAATTGTGACTTATTTGTTTCAAATGCTTTGATTGATATGTATGTGAAATGTGGAAGGTTTGATCTTGCTCAAAACGTTTTTAATGTATCACAGAGAGATCAAGTGTCGTACAATACCTTAATAGTAGGGTACTCTGAGAGTCCATTGTGTTCAGAAGCTTTGGATTTGTTCCTGGACATGCGATCTGTAGGAATTGAGTACGATGTTGTTTCCATTGTGGGTGCCTTATCTGCATGCGGTAATCTATCTGCACTCAAGCAAGGAAAGGAGATACACTGCTTGTCCATGAGAAAATTGTTCGACACACATCTCTTTGTGGCAAACTCATTAATAGACTTGTACACTAAATGCGGAAGGATTGCTCTTGGTAAGAAGATCTTTGATAGAATATCAAACAAGGATGTGGCCTCATGGAATGCTATGATCTTAGGGTATGGAATGCAAGGAGAACTGGAAGCTGCAATTAATTTGTTTGATTTGATGAAAGATGAAGGTTTGGAATATGACCATGTTTCTTACATTGCAGTCTTATCAGCGTGTAGCCATGCTGGGCTTGTTGAGAGAGGAAAGAGATATTTCAACCAAATGCTAGCTCAAAACATTAGGTCAACACAGATGCACTATGCTTGCATGGTCGATCTTCTAGGGAGAGCTGGACTGATGACAGAAGCTGCAGAATTAGTAAGAAGCATGCCCTTTGAAGCAGATTCCAATGTTTGGGGTGCATTGCTTGGCGCATGTCGCATCCATGGAAATATTGAGTTAGCTCAGTTGGCAGCAGAACATTTGTTTAAGTTAAAGCCAGGGCACTGTGGATACTATATTTTGCTTTCCAATATGTATGCTGAGGCGGGGAGATGGAATGAAGCAGATCAGGTCAGAGCACTGATGAAATCTAGGAAGGTGAAGAAGAATCCAGGGTGCAGCTGGGTACAGATTGGTAATAAGCTACATGCCTTTTTAGTGGGAGAAGGATCACAGGGTTCTGAGTTAGACCTATGTTATAATGAACTGGTTGAAAGTGAGAGGATGAGTTCAGCATATCTTTAGTGGCCTCAGACTTATAACTTAGGGCCTCAGGAACTGTAGAGTCGGACTTCAAATTTGATGCAGCTTCCAGATCAAAGAGAAAGTGATGATCCACACGTCATGTTGAACCTTTGTCAGGAAAATCATATTTAACAGTTCAGGAAGTACTGCATAATCACAATTAGAGAACCTGTACGTTCTACAATCATCACTGTGAGTTGATAACTTGCTATACTTTTTTTTTAATGATTAGAGAGGAGTTAAACCTCCTTGTGGTCTTGTGTTATTTTAGTCCTGCCTTGGATTTATGTACTTGCTAACTTCGACCTTTTTATTACTGTTGTTATTCCTATGTAGATAGTTTTTAACACAAATTGGAAAGAATATAGTAAATGCAAAATTCTCAAAGCCCTTTTCTCCTTTAGATGCAGCTCTATGGTAGAACCCAGTCTGGACTGCAAAATTTTGAAGAACATATCTAGTGGAAAATCAATAAGGTTTTGCTCAGGTTTTTGTCAGTTCCAGGTCCAGTTAGAAAACTTACAATGTGTAGGATGTCATAATTCTGGAATAGCTTGTAGAAGTCTAATTAATGAACTTTAACAATAATCCAAGTACATTTGTGTTGAATGGTTTTGTGGAAATATCCAACCCTTTTTATCCTTAATGTGCTACAAAAGAAGACAACTTCTATTGTTACATCCGGTAAATTTTTGTGCACAATGAAGTATCCCCTTTCCCTGGCACTAAATAAAGCTTAGTGTATTGGGTGAGTGCATTTCCCCATTCAGGTCGTTCTATATATTTATACACTCCTTTCTTGAAGGATGTGCCATCAACAGAATATTTTCAAGTATATCTATATCTTAATTAAAGGGTGTAACTCCAGGCATGCATGTAGTCTAGTATCACTGAGCATGACCTGAAATTGATCAAACAAGATCGTCATGGAATCATCATGGATGCAGTCATTGTTGTCTGACCTAGGCTACGCTATATGTAATTTTGCGAAATTTCTGGCTAAAGCTAGAGAATGCATCTTTCAAATGTTAAGTGAAGTGAGTACTGGTCTAGCTGCTTTACAGATCAAGTTGGTAATCCAAAATATCTTGATACATCTGGCTGAGAATGAGATTACATATTGTTGACCATAGTTCACATTTACAATAATCGACCAGGAGGACATTTTAAAGGAAATGGTCCTGCATTAAACATGAAAGTTTAATAGGTGCAAGTACTTTTGTACGTAAGACTAAAAAGAACACAAAGTCAAGTGCTCAAATTTTGGGCTTTATTTTTGTGGCAAACAACAGAAACACATATTTAACATCAACTCAAATACATCCCTAACCTTTCAAGTTCCCTTCAAATTGAAGATAATGCCATCACTCAATCTCAAAAGACCAATGCTTTCTGAATGGTTCATAGTGCAGGTAATTTCACACCAATGTCGTATTCATTAAATCTCCAAAAGCTCACGTCAGATTTGTCCTCTAAAGCTTTCATGGCACGATACAAAAAGTTGTTCTGTTCCATCGATGGGGAATTGCTTCCTATGGACTTATCCTCTGCAGCCACGTTATGAATATAAGCATTCCATGTTTTCGAAGAAGATGGAGAATTCTTCACAAAAAACAGCTCCACAACTTTTGCAATGGCAAAGTCACAGGAAGGATCTGGCAACTCAGGTAATAAGCCAATGCAAGGAATCATATCCCAATCTATCAACCACAAATTATACCCTAGTTCCAGGCATTTCTAAGCAATAGTAGCTACAAGCCAGACCCCATTTATTATGTTTGTTTCATGTTTAAGATCTATTGATTTGTCATGTATAATGCTAGATACCAACCGGTCTGTGCTGGTTTCAGGATATGCTTTCCTCTCAAGGTCAGTTAAGAAGTCCAGATTGATACCGAGGAGAATGAAAGCTCGGAAAACCAACTTCTTATAGATTTCAGATCAAGTTTCTAGCAGTCCTCTTGTTGCATGGTACAAGCCTAACAGAACTAAGAGTAGGGTATATCTGATTTCATCAATTCTTTTTGGAAACACTTTTGCCAAACAGAAATACTACCATTCTAAGTCTCTTAATGGTGGCAGCTCCCAGAGTTTGAAACCAGGAGATTCTTGGACAAGACTGGATTGAGGATCAACAATCTTCCCATAATTTACCCCTACATCCCTGTGATTGATGCTGGAGGACCTTTTCTTGCTTATAGTTTGTGTAAACATAATAGTACCCTTGGGGATAATTTTATTTGATGAGCCAGAGTCCAAATTCTCTTTTACTCTGTATCATCCTCTTGTGACCTATAAATATTGTACCAAAAAAGGAGTCAAGGTTCTTGCAATACTCATCATGCAAAAACATCAAATAATAGGATGGAATCAGAATGCTGAGTTTTTTTATGCTTGCTTGTGTTAACATGCTAATGATACTCCTTTTATTTCAAAAACCTCCTGTTGGAAAAGCTTAAATATAACTTCTTTTGCTGCAAATAACTAGACAGATTACCATGTCTTGCTGAATTGATTTGATTTCTTTGGTTTTTGGAGATTTCCTTTCAAGGTTTTGGAATAAGAGTTCGACTTCATGTGCCAACCATCTGGTATAAGCAAATTTGTGTTCCACTGCCCATTTGCGGCTTCTTCATTTTTACCTGCAGTCAATGGACAATGAGTCACACAGATACCTTCAAAGTGAACTGCAACCTTCTCAAAGAATAGCATGGACTTGGCCTCAGAAAAGACAATAATGTGAATAGCATCCAAACTAATTGCTGTGAAGAAAAAGAAGGCAAAAAATGAAACTTCAAACACAGCATGTTTCTATATATCCTACTTTGTGATCAGTATCCATCAATCCTCCTTGCTGATTGCTAAATTTTAACTGGCCATAAAAACACTGACCATTGGAGAAACTAAATAACTTGATTTGATATGTGAGGCATTTACACAATAAGTACATTACAACAAAGAAAAAGACTGTGTCGATCCTCAAAGAGATCGGTCTAAGAATTATTGGGATGAAAAACGAAACATAAGCTGACTACATCAAACATTTCTCTCAACACCAGTCCAGTGAAGAAGGTTGACCATCCCACCAGACCTAAACCTATTGAGAAGGCTTGGGAGATTTGTCAGGTAGGATGTTGTCAGGGACGATCAACTCCGAGCGAACCATACTCTTCGTCCCGGCGAGCAAACTTCTTCCGAAGCATCTTCTCAAACTCAATTTCATCGAATGGTTTGGCATTCTCAACAGCATGCGCTCGGGCCAGATTGCAGTAATTGGCTGCTGACTGAGAAATGAAGGCTATCTCTTCTTCTGAGAGCTTCTTGAGGACTTTTGCTGGGTTACCTCCCCATACCTGTGATTTGTTTAGAAAAAGCCAACCAAGTAAACAACAAGAACACAACCTACATCAAGAAGGTTTCCCAAGAGGCTGAAAGGAATTTGATGAATCCCCTGCTTTGACACAGCCTAATTAGAAAATACTTCAAGCTTTTCGACAGAAAGTAAGTCACAGATTCCATCATGGATAACCGGATAATATTATTGAACTTCAATGCAGTGAATATAAGAAAAAACAACAATCTAACTTTAAGAAATTTGATTGCATCTCTGAAAATTTCGGAACAACAGATATGTAACTGTTATTATCCATGAGTCCAACAATTGTGACCAAGAAGAGGCAAAAAATACTAGGGGTAAACTGCAGCTAGTGCGACATAGACCAATACTGATCGGCTACAGTCAGTAGTAGTGGACAAGCAGATTCAGGTTAAGATAAACTTAGGTTTAAACAACTGATAAGCAAAATAATAGCAGTTGCAGAGTAGTAACTTGTAGCATATTCAATAAAGAAGACTAATAATTTAATGAAGCAAAAGTGGGTACCTCTCCTGATGGAATTTTTGTGTTCTGTCTTACAAGGGCTCCGCCAGCAACCATTCCATGCTTTTCCACAACCACCCTATCAAGTAGGACAGCTCCCATACCAACAAATGCTTCATCCTCAACAGTGCATCCATGTAAGACAGCACTATGACCTGTCAAATTTATGTTCAAGATGTAGGCGTGAGCTCTTGAAGAAGTTAGCAAAAGTAATCATATTTTTTGCAGCTGAAACCTAACAGAACCAACTGAAGTTACCCAGAGTGTCCTACTCTTATATCCAGAATCAAAATACACATTGGTACTGCCAGGACAAACTGAGATGAGGATGACACATTGGCACATCTAGAAATCTTGCAACTTGCTGCCAAAACGTCAATGTAGATTTCATACTATAAATTGATGCCAAATTCAAGCTTGAATTAGTTGATATAAGAAAATCAGTCAGAGAAATTGCATAACTAACCCACTGTTACATTATCTCCAATTATAGTTGGTAAAACCTTCCCACTTAGATTAGATTTTGCTACATGCACAAGGGAATGGTCTTGTATATTAGTTCCAGTTCCAACACGGATGCTGTTCACGTCACCTGCAAAGAAATACATAAGTAGTTTATACGAAGCAATTGAGAAGAAAAGATAATTAATTGCAAGGGGTCTCTTCCAATTCTCCTTAATTATGTTCATGAGGAATCAATAGCTGAAGAAAATATGCACAGCAATCAGTGACAAGGCTTCCCCACCATTCGCATACAAAGATGTACATTCTGACAATCAAAGAATTTGAAAAAAAATTGATGGATATAGTCCACAAAAGATACCTGGTCTATGAGAAAGAAAAACAAGAACATGATCTTGTGTGAGATGGAGGGAGGAGAAATATGTCTCTCTTGCAGGCCACAAAAATTATTTCAGCAAAGACATCATATAAAAATATTGCAAGATAGTAATAAGTGTTAGGATCAAGTCGGCACTAAGAGAGGGGAGGGGGTGAATTAGTACTTTCGTTAAAATAACCGATTTAAAAAACTTTCGTTCAATGAAAAACTGTATCGAAAAGATGTGAACTTTGAAAGCATATGGAAGTATAATGAATAAGTAAGTAAAGCAGTTTGCAATCAAAGTAAAGAACTTAAAGTAAATACAAACCAAGTTTTATAGTGGTTTTGTCGTCGTGACCTACATTCACTCTCGATTCCTTTTTCGTCGAGGCCACCGACATCCACTAACGGTCTTCCTTTAATGGGCGAAGACCAACTACTCTTACAACTCTATTCTCCTTTTGACAGGCTCAGAAGAGAATCTTTGCACCCCCACTTACTCTTCTCTTAAACAGGAATCAACACTTGGACTAGAGGAGGAGAACTCTCACAAGATTATAACAGAATTTTCTCTTGTTTTTATTTTCAGTTCTTGTGTATCTGAGCATGGATGAGGGAGGTATTTATAGGCCCCAGATGGATTCAAACTTGGAGCCTAAAAGTGTCTCATCCTCGGTTTTTGAGATACTAGCGGTACCACCACCTATAGCACTGACACTGGATGGTACCACCGCCTAGTCTGGCAGTACCATCGCCCAGATTAGTGGACCGCCTGACATAGTCTCATAGACTGTGTCTTGGAAACTGAGCCTCTAGTGATGCCACCGCCTGGACTGGCAGTGTCATTGCTTGATCCAACGTTTGGGTCACTGAATGAGCTTTTTCTCTTGGCCCAAAATAACCCCACTCTATGCTCAATTGGTCCCTAATTGAGTTGGCCTAATTATATTCTAAACCAACCTAATTACAACTACTTCGATCTAGATAAATTATTATAAACAAGAATACTAAGTTGTCTGACACGTCATTGGTTCATCCGACACTTCGTTTTACCCTTCGGCGCATCGTCCTCTCTTTCGGCGTATTGCCCAATCGGCATGTTATCTTCTCGTAACATCCGATCTCCTTAGCGTAATATCCGATCTTCTTGGCCCGATGCCTGAACTTATAGCATGAAGCCTTCCACCGACACGTCAACCATTCCTCCGATCTGACGTCCAATTTTCTGAAATGTTCAATTCTGGCCTAACTTCTTATTCTTCCTACTTTAATCAATTTGCCTCTCTTTGATCGAAGCTAGTCATGCGTCACTTAAATGCACATTAGATCACAATATTATCAATTGGTTTCATCATCAAAATCTTTGTGGAACTTGTCACAGAACATTAAACTCCTTCAAATCCATGTTGTGGCAATATGATGTAAATGTCTCTCACTCAAGAAGCATATCTCATCCATCTGTTCAGTGTTCTAGATCAAATTACAGCAACCAAAGATCTAAGAATAAGCTGGCAATTGACTTTCCGACTGCATCAACCCTTGGCAAGTACAGTACTGGGACTGAAGGCAAGAAAGGACCTGCATCGACCTAGAGCACCGCATGATAGGTGATGAAAATCTTACATGGTGTCATGTTTGTATAATATTAGGAAATAAATTCAATTGGACTATCGATGAACATTTAGACAAAAATTCAATAACAGGTAAACTTTTAAAAACATGACCGTGAAGCCTCTGCAATTTATCATGAGGAACTTGAGGGTGATAGCTAGGCTAATCTACAATAACTAAGGGACTATACAAAACATGGCATCAACTTTAAGCAAAGTTGGAAACTTGGAATTTGATAAAACTAATGAAATAAAAATGAGAAGAATAGTGGGATATCTAGAGGAAGTATCTAACACCATATTTTCTTTCCAAATCCACCTGGTGGTTCTGTATTACTGACATGATATAATCCGATCAAGGATAACCATGCAGGGTAAAGTAAAAATGACAATCTGAGACCAGCACCAGAAGTAATGCGCGGTGAGTTATCTAATCATATATTTCCATGCCTTTGTCATCTGTCCATGCATAAGTCCAGATTTGCATATGGGCATGGCACACAGCACAAACCCATATGCCATACCAGTCTCTAGAAGATATTGGTGGCAATTGCATTCCATTGACAATCATTATATCCTCATTAGTTCTAATTTCTTCCTAACAAAAGGAAAATGCAAAACGTCCACAAAAAAAGGATGTCATGATAACAAATTGACCATATGAACCAGACCATTTGCATATACAGGGCAACTTTTCACCCATCAAGAGTAGAAAATTAAACTGCTGAAATTTTGAGAGAAAAGTAAACGTCAGATACAAGACATATTAGCAATTGTAAACTGGAAAACGAGGTTTATTTGTATAAGAAATAGCATACCTCTCGGAACGCATCCATACCAAATCGAGGATCTGTGCCCACTTCAATATCTCCAATAACAGATGCACTTGGAGCCACAAATACATCCTCGTGGACTTTTGGTACTTTGTCAAACATGTTCATGAGTGCCCGATGCCTTGACACTGAAACGGCATGATATGAGCAGTGATTACATGGCGGACAAAAGCCCCAGAATTTAAAGGCTACAAGTCTAATTCGTATGACATATATAAAGATCTGTGTGCATAAAGCTTTAATTA